TCAACAAGAACTCAAAGACAAACATCTTATGTGCCTTAACTACAAACAACAACCTTACCGCGCCAAACCTTGCCAACAAGCTACAACTATGCTCAATGACCTTAAGCCTAAGCATCATGTGTGACATCTAACCAGCTGAGATCCCAATACCACCTCCCACCTCTCCTCCTCCCCTTTGGAAGTACTTACTTACATGGAAAGACATCACTACAGATGCCGGAGTGTTCTCCATAATAAGAAATGGGTACCACATCAAATTCCAGCAGCTTCCTCCACCGTCACACCTCCATCACAAACTCTACAAAAAGAAATATAGTCATTACTACTCAAAAGATGTCATAGAACCAATACCACTACAACACGTAGTCATAGGTTTCTCTCTCACTGTTTCACCATCCCCCCCAAAGATGGAGGCCTTTGCCCCATCCTCAATCACAGGGAGCTAAATCAATACATCAGTACCACCAAGGTCCACATGGTTACCCTCGAGTCTGTCCTCCCCTTGCTCTGCAGAAAAGATAGGTTTTCAGTCTTAGACCTAAGAGACACCTATTTTTCATGTCTCCATTTATCCTTCTCACAGGCCCTACCTATGCTTCCAACTCGGAACTCAGGCCTACCAATTCAAAACACTTCCATTCAGACTCGCAACAGCTCCCCGGATATTCACCAGATGCATGACCCCTGTGGCATCTTACCTCAAACTTACCAAAATTCACATCTCCACGTACATCGATGACTGGTGCTTGTAGCACACTCCCATCACAAAGCACAACAAAACATTCACTTCACTTTGTCTCTTCTCCAGGAACTTGGCCTGGCAGTAAATCTACACAAGTCCAAGTTAAAACCCATAAGTCTGGTTCATTATATATGAGCAATTTTAGACTCCAGATATGCTCGGACATTTCTCCCAACAGACAAATGCCTCAATCTAACCTTCCTTACTATGTGCCTTCACTCCTCATGTGCCCGTATCTGCTTTAACGGCCAAACATGTTTTAGGCACTGTGGTATCCATGACTGCTGTGGTTCAGCATGTTCACCTCAAAATAAGATAACTCCAGGCATGGTTCCTAGGCTTGTTCAACCCATTGACAGACTCACCACACATGTTGCTGTGAGTCACTCCAGAACCTGCCTCCCAGCTTGCATGGTGGCACTCCATTCAGAGCCTAATGATGGGACGACCCTTTCAACAACCCCACCCACAAATCCAGGTTACTACAGATGCCAGCCTTACCAGCTGGGGTGCCCAATGCAGATCCCTGCAAATCCATGCCTGGTGGTCACGAAGAGTGAAACCCCTCCATATCAACAAGCTAGAACTCTTAACACTAATAAAAGCTTGCAAAGCTTTCAAAAACCATCTTGTGGGCAAAATGGTTCAAATAGCCACAGACAACACCACCATGATGTATTGTATTCTCAGACAAGGGGACACTCACTCCCCAAGTCTTTTATACCTCGTTGTAGACCTGTGGGAATGGTGCCTCTCTCCTCACATTTGTCTCACGGCAATACATATAGCCGGTCAAGACGACAATCTGGCAGATTTGCTTAGTTGAAAAAAAAATTTCAAGCCCACAATGGAAGCTAGATCAATCTGTTTTTCTCTCTGTGTGCAAACAATGGGGCACACCCATCATCGACTTCTTTGCCTCCCGGGTAAACTGGAAATACAAGTGTTATTGCTTCCACTTAAGAGTAGGCAAGAACTCCCGCGGAGATGCATTCATTGGACCAAGTCACTTATTTACCTGTTTCCACTGTTCCTGCTCCTCCACAAAGTTGTGGTCTGGTTTCAACAGGACAGGCCCAATGCTATCCTGATAGCTCCATGGTGGCTGCAGCAGCCATGGTTCCCAATTTCCCACCAGCTGTCGTCCAACATTTATCACCTACCCCGTCTACCTCACCTGCTAATACAGAACAAAAATCAAATTCCTCACCCAGATCTCCCTGCTCAGACACCCTACTCCGAAACGTTTCCTCAAGGGGCTATCACACCTCTGCCACAAATGTCCACCTTCCACCACCTCAGTGATCACCGGCATTGGTCCTTCGACAACTTACAAGGGCCGCGTTTGAGCCCCTGACATCAACTGACCGCAAGATACTTACCTTCAAAACGATATTTCGTGTGGCCATCACGTCAGTTCGACGTCCTAATGAACTTGCAGCCTTAAGGTCTGACTACCCTTTGTGATGCACCGGATCCCCTAAAGGGCCGCTGGCATTCGGTCAGAGAGTTTGACAGGCCACTGGGGCAAGTCCCAAGACCCCAGCAGTGCATAGCATAAGCCCTTTGAACAAGTCTGACCTTAAAAGAACACTTCACACTTAACCAGTACTTTGCAAATACAGACACATGGGCTTTGTGATTCCTTAGAACTCACTAAAGCTTAGTTAGGTAGGATTCTTAAATGATAGCTAGTTTGTGGCCCTCTCCACCTCCTGGATTTAGCCAGACCCTGCTGTTCAAGAGACCAGTCCTTTTATAGAATTTTTTATAATTAATTTTTATTAGAAAAATAGAGTTTCAATAGAAATCAGTTGATATTGCATAATCATTAGTATCAAGAACATATTCAAAGATCATTGTAGTTAAATAAGATAACTATTTCCCATTTAAAATAATAAACACTAAAAAGCTAAACTAAGGATCCTTACTTACATCCTTTCTCAATTAAGCTCCTTTCTCTCCCATCCTCATGGAATCAAAGTCCATAGCAGGACAACACACCAACCATTGAACCACATTCACATAACCCATTGTCCATTTTGTAGCTTTCTAACTCCTCCCTTCTTCATGACCTTTCTGGCTGGTAACCAATTAACCTAAAGAGGCTGTACCACCTCTCTCCTCCCGTTGTTCCCATGAGAGTCCAGGTGTTGTTTATCTCTTCTGCAGCCAGCTTAGAATGTTGAGTCTTCCACGGGCCTCTCAATTTGGCCTTCATGCTATCTGGATCCAGGCTGTAATGGTCTTCAGGAAAACACTCTCATGGCGCTTAGAAAAACACATTCCAATGCCTCTCAAATTATCTCCACACAGAACCTATCTGACTCCATTTTACATTTCTCTGACTACATATCCCATCATCATGACATTTCTCTACATAGCCCATTATTGTGACATTTCTCTAACTACATATCCCATTATCATGATACCCTTAGCTCCAGTTTTACACAGATAAGATTTTTGTAGATATTTCTTTTTTACCCAAGGTTGTCTCCCAGTTCCACCTATCCCAACCTTTAGTTCTTCCTTCTTTTTTTTCCATCTCCTACTCGTCAAAAAAGGATCCTCCATACTCTGAATGTAAAACAGGCTCTTGCTTTTTACATAGCCTGCACTCAATCCTTCAGACGCTCAGCTACCAACTTACTGCCAAGGGTCTTCAAGTTACCTCGCAGAGAATATCTAACTGGGTTGTGTCTACCATCCAGCTTGCTTATCAGTTTGCTCGAGTTCCAGCGCCACAGAGTATCCGCCCTCATTCTAGGGTATTGGTGACATCTACGGCGTTTCTTCGGGGCATCGCCATAGCAGACATCTCCGCCTCTGCCACATGGTCACAGCCGTCCACGTTTATCAAACATTACAGATTGAGCATTTGGCAGTAATCTGATGCTGCTTTTTGGTATGCTATGTTATCATCTACCTTGGTGTGACACCCTCCTCCAGGTACGGTAGCTTTTTAGTCACCTATAGTGTGATTCACAGAGGCCACGAAGAAGAACAACAGGTTACCTACCTGTAATTGTAGTTCTTCAAGTGGACCTCTGTGATTCCCACGTCCTGACCCGGCCTCCCCACTGTCACACCCTTTTCTTTCTGCGGTGGTTGACCTAACTGAAGGGAGGACTTTGGTACCAGGGTGGAGGGGCCTATGCTAATGTATTTTCCTTTGCTACCACAGAAGCTCTAGAATATTCCGGCAAGGCTCCGTGCATGCGCAGATTACCCATAGTGTGAATCACAGAGGTCCACTAGAAGAACTATAATTACAGGTAGGTAACCTGTCGTTATGTCTGAGGAGGTTCACAGGGAGTTATGCCCAGGCAATCTGTATGTCTGATTGAACAACATATTTTGCAACTGCCCATGCACTGAGAACCCAGTTGACCATGCAGTTGACCATGCAACTGCATCTGCTGAAGTGCTTTCTGGATTCTTCTTTGGTGCAAATTTGGTGCAGGCATAGCTATGTAACATTATTTCAGCCCCTAAATCATAGAAACAAGTTGTAGAAGAAAACTGCTTATGCACTGCATAAAAAGGCAGAGCTAGTGTTTTGCAATTCCTGTCAAAACACATACAGCATGTGAAAATGTAATTAGAACTGGAGTGTCTGATGACCTGAACTCTTCAAGACCAAAGTGGACTGCAAGACTCATGTTTTCAGTATGTTTAAGGCCTGGTGACTATGACATTTCTATTCATTCCATGGGAAAATTGTTGGGTGGTTAGGGATGGTGGGAGATGGCTTCTTTTCTCAGTTTTACATGATAAGCACCTGACTTGTGGCCATTATCAGGAAAGGAAAGGGGAAAGAAAAGGAAAGGTTCACGTTGCATTATGCAATACATTTCATCTGTATGTGCTGTTTCAGTCACCTTGTTGAATTTTTTATTCATTCTGTATTAATCTGTGACATGACACTCACATAATGTGCAGTTTTAAAGGAAGCACAGTATTAAAGGAATAGTGCAATCCAACATTGTTAAATTGTTTTTCTCAGAAGGCTTAATGACCAGCAGGGGGACCCATTTGTTAGGAAGCAAAGCTAGGTTTCTCCTTTTAAAAATTAAACATGCTGAGTCAAAACCATATAAAAACCATTCTAGAATGCTACTATGATAAAAGATTTGAGGTTTACTGTTCCATTATTTCAACAATATATTGGCCAGACTTACTTTGGTATAAATATATATTTTAATCTTTTAAAATCTGCACTTTTAGTTGTTATCATTCAATTCTTACATTACTTCAGGTTAACTGAGATAAAAGAAAAGATTGATCATCTTAATGAAGGAATACGGCAGGTTGATATGGATCTTGAAGAGCAGCAAGGTAAAACAGATCTTTCAGACTTCTAAAAACTTGATTTAGATTTAGAATATGGGACAATAACACATAAACACTTCTACGTATTATGATATATCATTATTTAACAGAGAGATGATCGTGACAGTTTTCTTGCAAAACGAGTGCTGATATGAATATGTGGCAATATCCAATTAGTGTAAATGTGTAATTGATTTCATTAGTTGATTTATCTTTAAAACTACAGTCATTTGAATACAATATCCTTTCCTTATTAGAATGATTATAAACTTACAATTTGCTGCCCAAATTTAAATTGATAAGTTGATTATTTTTTCATATTTTCTTGTTGGGGCATTTCACACTTTGTTGAGACTAATTTTATCTTTCTAAATAACAGTGGAGAAGGAGTTAAAATACATATTAAGGACCTTAAATAGTGTGCTCTTCTTTCTAGCTTGCAAGTTTGATATTGCAATAGCTACTTTATTTAGTTTCTCTGTAATCCTGTCATTCTGTTTTTATTTTATTTTTTCATATTGTATTTGAATTTTTCTCTTATAACCTTTGGATGACTGTATATGGTAAATCTTTATTTGCTTCACTGTTTATAGCTTGACAACAAAAACTTAGCAGTTTCACTTTAGCCCATCATATTTCTTATGACAGTACTATTAATTTCCATTAATTACTATTAAGGAATGTACTTTTTTTGGCTAAAGAAGTTTGGAGCATGGTTTCGATGTGGCACAACATCATGTTTTAAAGCTGCTGTATCCAAAGTCAGTATTGCCATGATGACGTTCAATCTTTGGTAGAGGAAGAAGAAGAGAAAATGGAGAGATAGGGACTTCTGAACTGGTCTTGATTTATTGAATCCTTGTGATTGTCCCTTTTGAATTATATATATTTTCAGAAATTTATTCAGAAAAAAATCATATCATTTTCTCAGAAATTTACATTTTGGTTGTTTCTTTTGAGTCAGGTTTAGTGCTTTCAGAACATTGCTTAGTATTCTTTCCACTTTGCTCATTATCTATATAGTACCCCCACTTAAAGTCTCAAGTCCACATAACATGATATGGCCATTATTATCTATGGGCAACTCACTCTGCTTCACTTATTTTAGATTTTTGAAATAAATCACTTTTTTTTGTTTCAAATCGAACATGCCTGTGGGTCCTCTAAAAAGCAGACTGGATTTCTTAAGGCCAGTACTACAAAGTATTCATTTATCATGAAAGGGAGAGTCAGCCAGGAAGAGGATCACAGCTGCAAGGAAGTTCAAGGAAAATAATGGTCTCTTGGGGCTAATGCCCACGTTTTTAATTCGTATGTGCAAGATACGAAGGAAAGCAGGAGGATGTCGATATAACATTAAATGGGAAAAGGATTCTCAGCTCTGATGTATCTATATTTAACTTGACCTTTCAAATTAATGTTTTTGTCTTGACTTGTGAAATTCCCACATCTAACGCTGTAATTTAAAAACTAGTTTAAAGATTGAATTTCCATTATTCCTACCGTCAGCATGGGTAGCAATTGGATAGAAATTGTGTGACTCTCCCAAAAAATCTGTTATGAAATGACTATATAGACAGAATACTGAAAAAAACTGTTGCAGAATATAGAAATTCTGTTATACCAAATTCTGGAAACACTTATACACATACTATTTCATGTTAATTTCATTAACTGATAAATATTATTGAGTTCATAAAGTAGCCAATAGTGCCAAACTGCAGAATATGAACTATGCTCAGTGGAAATTTTGCTTATTATGGGACTACGAGATTGCATAAAATAATGGACATTTGCAAGCTCTTATAGATTGCTTTTATTTGCAGGTCTAAAATAATTAACTGTTCGTTTTCAAATGATAATTTTTGTAGGCGAGAAAAATCTGAAACATAAGGAGTTGAAGAAGAGAGAAGAAAGCATGGACAGTAAGTAGTTTCATATGCTTGTACTGTAATTTCATGTGAAGTTATTTTTAAGCCTTGGTGCCTTTGCTTTAATACATCAAGCATACTGTGAACTTAGTTGTACTTTGTTCCACGGTCTTACATCCAGGATGTACAGGATTGCAGGTTCTACCTCTAAGCATGAGGTTCTACCTCTACCTTACTTAACATTCTTGAAGGTATTTATCCACATGTATAAAATGAAAATAGGTTACTATTTGAGGCCTTTGAATTACCATGAATAGCACCTTTCCTGACTGTTAAATTGCATACAGAGTCTTAAACAACACAATTGTAGGAAACTGAAAAGTAAATAAAAATATTTCATTGTGTGTCTGAAAATACTGAATATAGAACAAAACAAAACTAAAAAGACCATGGAGATCAAAGTATAGCATATTTTAAGACTCATGCATACTTCTTCAGCTATTTTCATATGAGAGCATCTTTGCAGATTATAAATGTACCAGCAGAAAGTGTATCTTCAAAGGGCAATTAGATCAGAAGGGTATCTAGTACTGACTTAGCAACTGCTATGGGCGTGCAGGAGTTCTTGTACATTTGTAGCTGCTCTATTTACTTCAGGATCAGAAACACGTCTCTCAACACATAAGCATTATGCTCACATACCTGCCTTCTATCTTGGAAAGTTTTGTTCATACATTTGGATCATTCTCATGCTGTAGAATCATGGAACTGAAGGGCAGGAATGGATCTCAGAGGCCATCAAGTACAGCCCCAAGCAGTGTGGGAAATCCACAAGTAAAGCACCCCAGATAGGTGGCCATCTACCCTCTTGCTTATAAAACTATTGTTCGAGTTTTAGTCCAGCAGGATAGCAGAGAAGAAGTTGTCAAAGAGTGCAGTAACTATAGAGCAATTGGATTAATTCCTCATGCAAACAAAGGGATGCTTAAGGTTCTTCTTTGTGGTCTCTGTGAATGCACACTATAGTGTTTAATCTGTTCTTGCACAGAGGTTTCCAGAATATTCTAGAGCTTTATGACGTGTGTAGTGAACAGCCCTGATCTCACCTGCCCGTCACTGCAGAACACTGAAACAGGAGCCAATGAGTGAACAGAAGGTGGAGCCAAGGGGGGAAGGAGCTGGATATAAAGACTAGTGGATGGAGTCTGAGAGAGGGAGAGACTATGTGAAACTTAAAAGTGAACTAAGAGTGAGTTAGAGGTCTGTAAGAGCATAGATTGAAGCAGAGTGTTAAAAGAGTTTTGAAGTTATATCCTATCTGATTCATATATAAGTGATTGGCAGTCAGTGATTTATCCTATGAATATTTACTGATTATTAACTTCCCTAATTAAATGAAAGAATTAAGTTTTGACAGCACACGTGTCTCCATACTCAATTGATATTAAATTATTAATATCTGGTGGCAGTGAAGAAGAAAGAAGAGCAAGATCCTTGTGAAGGCCAAGGGAATAGGGTCTTCAGAGGAAATCGCCACAATGTGTTTGCCAGGACCGCCTCCCTAGCGCACATGGCCCGCCCATCCTGGCGATTGCCTCAGTTCTTTTTGCCGCTGCTGAGGTTTCTTCTTTCGACGAGCTCCATTTGCCTTTATCTTCTCTTCTACATTTAAAGAATAAACAGAGGGAAATTAGTGAGAGACTTTCGATCTATATCTCTCCTCAACTGCCCCCTTCCTTTCCCTTCCCCTTCCACCCTTTTTTTCACCATTTTATGGCCCTTACAGGGCCGTTCAAATGGTGCACATCGTTCCCTAACAAGGTCCCTCTCTCGCACGGACACAATTCTTGCCTTTTCTGCTTGGGAGAATCTCATCAACCTGCCCCATGCCAATTCAGTAAAAATCTCACAAAGCAGGCTCTTAAACCTAGACAACAACATCTCAGGTCCTTTCTCTGGGAATGCTCCCTCCACCCTGTGCCAACTATGGAGACTACACAGCCTTCCCAAGCTCGTTGTGCTTCACCTGATGTCCCTATGACTTCTCCGAAATAAAAACCTAAGTCTAAATCGGTCTCGAAGTCAAAGTCTGCTACATTAGCATCAAAGTCAACTCCGGTACTGAAGCTTCCCTCAACATCGGAGCACTCTAAGTCCAAAAACTCAAAGAAGTCTTCTACCGAGGTCCAGGCTCCTAGGCAGGCACCCTCTGCACATGCAACTGATAAATCCACGCCTTCAATCCTGCTTCAGGATCAACAGACTATTTGCCTTGACTCTATTTCCGTGGATAACGATGACTATTAGCATCAGGCCAACCACCTTCACCTCTCTTAGCCCAATCTCCTTCGTGGGCTAATACCTTGACTGATGTGACAATGTTACCAAGATCTGACCACTCGAGGCCCTCCAGTTGCTCTGTCTCCGTGTGTCAGTCAAGTTCAGCATCTGTTTTAGCTGATCCACAGCCTCCAAAAGACACACCATACACTGTAGACTGGTCCTTCCAATGCTGACCTTCCACAACCTCCGATGTCAACGAGGTTGCTTGCATCGCATGATTCATTGACTCGATGCTGCAATCCTAAACGAGTCACTTTGTACAACCCACCAACATACTATGAGCTCCCTCCCAAGTGATACTGACATCGCTCATACTGTTACTGGCATCCTGATACCGAAGTGCCCTTGGTACTCATACTGTGTTTCCCTGAAAATAAGACAGGGTCTTATATTAATTTTTTCTCCAAAAACAGAATTAGGGCTTATTTTCAGGGGAAGGGTGTTTTTTTTTCCATGTACAACAATCTACATTTATTCAAATACAGTCATGTCATCATCTTCTGGTTGCTCCACAATGATGGAGGGCGGGGTTTCACTTAACTGGGGTTTATTTTGGGGGTAGAGCTTATATTACAAGCATCCTGAAAATCATACTAGGGCTTATTTTCAGGTTAGGTCTTATTTTCGGGAAAACAGGGTACTACTACCATTCTGATTCCTCAGACTCACAGTCCCCTCCTCGGTACCATCCACGAACACAGGAGTATGACCAGTCCTCGTTTGCGGATGATCCCGCACTCCTTCCTGTGGTACCAAAGGCACAAAAGTCTTCCCGTAAGGGGAAGCATACCTCTGAATATCCTCCAGCGCAGCCACCTACAGTACCGAAACGCTATTGACCATCAGCTACTGACTGTTGAACTTGCCACACTTTCGCATATTTGTATCTCCTTTCTTCAAGTGACTACAGTTTATACTGGTCCTTCACCCCACCTCTAGATGCGAATCAGACCCATCAACTCAAATGTTCTAAACCTCATCATGGTACCGCATACTCTATACCATATAAACAGGATAGTGGTAAATGAGGGGCTATCCACATGATACTCCACCAGATGTCTTGGTCTCTCCAAACCAACCTCCCTCTCTGACATCATCCGATTCTGACACTTCAGATTCCCTGCCACCACAGGAGTCCCCTCCTAACTTGCCAACACACAACTCTAATGTGGCCAATACCAACCCATCCGAAGATTTTTCTTCCTACTCTCAGCTGGTGCCCCGCATAGCTAAGGCTATGAGCCTCAACGTACAACAGCTAGTCCAGTCCAAATCAGACAACGTCTATGAAGACATTAATGAAGACCAAATCCCTCCACTTCGCATGGGATTCATCCCATCTCTTCTAAAATTGATTAAACAATCATGGTCCAAACCATCTTCCATACCACAAATCTCCAGAAAAGTGGAGAATTTATACAATACATACAGAGCTAATACAGCATTCCTCTCCAAACATCCACCTCCAAATTTGGTGATAGTTGATGCCAGTCGAAACAGAGCGCAAAACCGGTCTAATGCAACACCTAACAATAAGAAAGGCAGGAAGCTCGATATTATTGGCTGCAGGGTCTACTCCCTCGCTGTCTTCACTCTCCACGCAGCAAATTATTTGGTAGCCATGGGAGCTTACCATCGGTTCTTATGGAATTAAGCCCTCCCATCATTCAATCAGCACCTGCTGAATACAAATCCTGTGGCCTTGCTTTTCATCAAGAGGCCATGGCTCTAGCACACCAAGAGCGTATCACCTCATGGCATGTTATTGAGGCTGCATCAAAACACATGACTACAGCTGCCACCCTCCAAAGACACGCTTGGCTTCATTCAGCCTATTTCCTATGATTCCTATATTCACATCGAAGACCCTACCCTTTGATGGTGTTGGCCTCTTTGATAATAAAACTGATGAGATTTTGGACAGCCTCCAAAAAATGAGAAAAACAGCACACTCTTACAACACACAACCATATTACAGACTGCAGCAATATCAATGATGTTGCCCCTACTCCTAACAACAATACAAACCTTTTAATGACAAACGATACTTACCGCAGTCCTCCTTTTCCTTTCAACCTCGACATTCTACACAAAAACAATGTCCCTGACAGTCTTTTCAACAACCTGACAAGAAAACAAAGCAGGGTCTTTGACTTTCAAGCAGCCCAGATTCAGCCGTCCTACTCTCTCCCCTTCAATACCACTCACTTTACAGCCCACCTTTCATCTTGGGCAGCCATCACCACTGACAATTGGGTCCTCACTATCATCACCATAGGCTACGCAATAGAATTTGCATTCCTACCACAACCAAGGACAATTCTCACCACACCATCACATGTCCTAAAAAAGGAAGATCCAATCCCTCCTCTCAAAGGATGCTGTACCCACTCGTCATCCCATCAGAAAATGACCCTGGGGTCCTTTCCCGGTACTTCACAGTACTGAAAATAGATGGAGATCTTTGTCCCATTCTCGACCTCAGGGACTTCAATTATTACATAATCCAGAAACGCTTTCATATAGTGACACTAGAATGCATTCTACCCATCCTCCAAGATAATGATTGGTTCGCTGTCATCGATTTAAGCAATGCCTATTTTCACATCACCATCCACCAAGAACACTGACAATCTTCCAGATTCTCTCTCGGAAATGCTACCTACAAGTTCAAAGCCCTCCCATTTGGACTTGCCAGCGCTCCTCAGGTATTTACAAAGTGCATGGCCCGCCCCCATAGCAGCCCATCTCTCCACGCAGGGAATTTCCATCTTCCCATATGTCGACAACTGGTTGCTCATTGCCCCCTCACATTCTCAAGCACTACGCGATGTGGACTACACTCTCTCCCTCCTAAAAATCTGGGCCTAGGAGTCAACAAAGACAAATCTACACTGGTTCCTTCACAGAAAGCGACTTACATACACACAGTTCTAGACTCACGAAAGGCTTTTCTTACCCCAAGAACGCGCAATGAAACTTTATGTAAATCTCCAGCATTTTTACCCTCATGCGATGGTCACCACACACCAGACACAGTGACTTCTCAGCCTCATTGCAGCTACCACATCAGTCATACAGCATGCTTGCCTAAAATACACTCTCTGCAGACGTGGTGTCTCCCGAACTCGCAGCCCAACTACTGTGGTGAACACAACAGTCAGTCTCTTCATGGGAAGACCCTTTGCACCCCTTCAACTCTCTGTACAGGTTACCACAGATGCAAGTCCCACTTGCACCTTGGGGAGCTCATTGCAATGGCCTTCACATTCACGCCCTCTGGTCTCACTTTGAAAAATGCCTTCATATCAACAACCTAGACCTCTTAGCCATTTTCAAAGCTTTTTACACTTTCGAACTACTCGTTACGGGCACAGCCATGCAAGTAACTACAGACAATACCACTGCAGTTTTTTATGTGAACAAACAGGGAGGCAACCACTCTCTTCCCCTGCTATAACTCACTGTTCAATTCTGGGAATGGTGCTTCGAACGCCATATTATCCTGATAGCAGTCCATATTTCCACTCAATGCAACCAGTTGGCAGATTCACTAAGCAGACTTCGCACCCAGATGCACGAATGGGTCCTCGACGATGCCATCTTCCGCCAGCTTTCGAACCTGCAGGGAAAGCCACACATTGACATTTTTGCCACTGCTCAAAATACAAAGTGTGCTCATTATTGTTCCAGAGCAGGAATTGGTCCAGGTTTCTTTGGAGATGCACTCATGACACCGTGGAAGCCACACCTAATCTACCTTTTTCCTCCTATTACTCTCCTCCTCATGACCATCATCAAACTCCGCCAGGAGCACTCAAATGCTCCTGGACTGCAAGGAAATCAAACCTATCCATTCTGAAGGAAATCAATCCCGAGTGCTCACTGAAAGGACAAATCCTGAAGCTGAGGCTTCAATATTTTGGCCATTTCATGAGAAGAGAAATCTCCCTGGAAAAGACCCTGATGTTTGGAAAATGTGAAGGCAGGAGAAGGGGACAACACAGGACGAGATGGTTAGACAGTGTCATTGAAGCTACCAACATGAATTTGACCAAACTCCCGTAGGCAGTGGAGGACAGGAGGGCCTGGCGTGCTCCTGTCCATGGGGTCACGAAGCGTCGGACATGATTTAATGACTAAGCAACAAAAACAACAAGATTAAATCAAGCCGATAAGCAAAGGTGTCTCTCTAGAACTCTATCTAGAAGTAAAAATGACTGAACTGAGGAGGCTGTTTTAGTTTGGGCACTGTGATGGGCAGCCTCACTCGGTGTCACCAAGGAGAAGCTGATTGGCCAGGGCTGAGCCAATCACGATTTGCCGGATGGGTTCAAGGGACGTGGTGGCGCTGTGGGCTAAACCGCAGAAGCCTGTGCTGCAGGGTCAGAAGACCAAGCAGTCGTAAGATCGAATCCACGTGACGGAGTGAGCGCCCATTGCTTGTCCCAGCTCCCGCCAACCTAGCGGTTCGAAAGCATGCAAATGCGAGTAGATAAATAGGTACCATCTCGGTGGGAAGGTAAACAGCGTTCCGTGTCTAAATCACACTGGCCATGTGACCACGGTAAGATTGTCTTCGGACAAACGCTGGCTCTATGGCTTGAAGAGGGGGATGAGCGCCGCCCCCTAGAGTCGGACACGACTGGACAAAAATTGGCATAGCAGTGTGGGTTTCCAAAAGAAAATTGTCTATCATAGTTACAGTGTTAAGAAAAAACTTGTTGTAGTTAGAAAGCTAGTTCTTTAAAACACAAAAAACTGCATGACTAAGAATTGTGCCACATAACCATTATGTTTCATAAAATAACAGACATTATTGTTTCTTTTACCATTGAATCAGTTTGGTTCTTATGTTTTGGGCTTAAGGATAGCCCAGCAAAGAGACTAGAGCAGGGGTCAGGGAACTTTTTTACCATTTACCCCCTAAAAATTTTATATATGCTGACATTACCCCCATGAGTTGAAAGCAAGGATCTTGATCACACGGATCTCAGTCACACGCGGCCAGCCAAATGCCGCTGCTGCTGCTGCCACTGCCTCCTCTACCTGGTGGGGCTGCGCTCAGTCCTTGGCCCCGCATGGGTGGCTCTCTTTTCTCCACCAGTGGGCGGCTCCTGGGCGGCCATCGAAGAGCAGCAGGTGGCTCGTCTGCCAGGGCGCCCGACACTGCCTCCCACTCTGGCACTGGAACCGGCTCTGGCAGCTGCTTGCCGGGGTGGGCACATTGGGCTTCGGCATCAGGGCTCCCACGGGCATTGCCATTGAAGTGCCGGAACAGCTACTGCATGGAGGGCGAGAGGGTCTGCCCGGCCTGCCCAGCCGACATGGAGGTGCCACGGAAGGAAACCGTGTGGCCGGGCGAGTGCCGTTGCTGCCCAGCAGGCTCCTCCAGGAATGGGGATGAGGTGTGGGGCGCTGGTGCTGGCCCAGCACCGGGAGGCTGAGCCTGGCCCCGGCTGCTGTTGTGGCCACGCCTGCCCCCTCCGCCGCAATCCACCTCTCCAGGCACTGGAAGGAGAGGCCCCTCCTGGCCGGGATGTTCTGACTACTTGCTCCCACCTCGCCCTCTGACATGGCCGGCCCCGCCGCCGCCTCAGCTGCCACCTGCCACTGACTGGGGCCTGTCGCTGGCCACCATCTGCTGTGGCTCGGTTGCAGCAGGGCCGGAGAAGGGGGCAAGAAGGGGGCAATCAGGCAGCTGTGGACTCCCCTCCAGGTAGAGGAGGAGGAGGAGGGAAGGGGCTTAGGGTCGTGTCCTCATTACCCCCAGGATTTTCATTTTTACCTGATTTGGGGTAATTTGCCCCTGTTCTCTGACCACTAGACTAGAGGGTTGGAAAAGTGATTAGCCAAGTGGGCTGGTCACAGGCACAACATGAGCAGACTCACTGGAAAAGACAGTAGGTTGAAGGCAGCAGGAAGAGGATAGAACATGAGATGCAGTGACCACCGCTTTGAGTTTGTAAGAGCTGAGCACAGCTGTTAATGGCAGGACCTTTGGGGGGTCACTAATTCATAGGGTTGCCATTAGTCAGAATTTTAGAAGTGACTTGGTGTCACATCAACACCACAACAATGTTGGGCAAGCACAGGTGTCCCACTCTTGTTCTTATTTATAGAAAGAATAAGCACTTGGCTATATGTATGTATTTTCACATGTATTGACTGACGGATACACACTGTTACAGATGTATCAATACAGTATATAGATAGTAAAGGCATCAAGTAGGTGCAACAAAAATAATTTCCATACAAAATATTTCTTCATAATGGTCCATTGCTTTCATTGTTACTTTTTTAAAGTTTGCTTTTTAATACAAGTTGCTATAGGTGTTGAGTAACATTTCACAATCCGTCTGGTGTTCCGTTTATAAACAGCAGCCTCTGTTATCTTGTTTTTCAATCTTTAGGCTTTCTTGAATCTTTTGAAGAGACGAAGAACCAGGAACTGGAACGGAAAGCACAGATAGAGGCCAATATTGTGGCACTTTTAGAGCACTCAAGCAGAGTAAGTGGTTTTGGCTCCCCTCCTAAGCACTTCCACATAGAAGTAACCCCTTCTGAATTCACTGTGATTTACTATTGATTAAAAGCGGCTAAAATTCTCAGCCCCCTTTTTTAATGAAACAGGCGTTTATTACTTACATTTAAATAGAGCTGAAAAAGAGTCAGCCACAATGATTGTTACCTTCTGAATAATAAAGCAATTTGTTGATAATATATCTAGCTATTTCCCCATTTTTCTTCAGAAAATAAATCAGACTAGTTTAATCAGCCAAGTAGTTTCAAGGACCATGTTAAACTAGCTCTCCACCCCTTTTATTCTTTGAGCCAGTGCAGGCTTCCTGTTAATTGCAGTTAAGAAATGAAGAGCCAACCTTGGAAATATATACTTCTTTAACCTCGTTTCAGCTTTCTCCTCCCTGCAATCAAGACTCTTTCCTGCCTTATTTATCGTAAGACCTGAAACCTATTTCAGATCATTACTTCAGGAGCTATTTAAAAGAAAGTACTGGTTAATTTTAATTTTGTTAATGTTGGTGCAGATATAACACCTAACTGCCGTTAAGGCAAATAGAGAAATCTGTTTGATAAAAATATCAAATTCTGTTTTTAAGACACTATTAACTACAGTTACTAGGAAGCCATCACTGTATCTGCACTACCAGTTCTTCTTAATTCTGCCATCCTTCACAAACAGTGTCACCCTTGTTTCTCCCTTTAATGTCTGTATCAAAGCTTTTTGTTGTTGTTGTTGTTTCCTATCGAGTTCCAACTTATGGTGGCACAGGGTTTTCTAGATATAAAGTACTTAAAAGTGCTTTACCAGTCCCTGATCTTAATGGCACCGTGAGACCAAAGTTGCAGGAATAGCAGAGCACATAAACTCCATCAGCTACATACACACCGAGTGATATGAACTTCCCTTGCTCCAGGAAGACACAGTGGGGATTCAAAGTTGCAGTACTTGCCTCCATAGCCAAGTGATCCAACCTACAGAGCTTTGCTAGGTTATTTTTAAGTAAAAAAAGAAGAAGGAAAACATTTGTATTGTATCTGGAAGTTGAGTCTGGACTTTTTTCTTATTATGCTGAAATGTTTCGCCATTCATCCAAGTACAGTGGTGCCCCGCATAGCGAGGTTAATCCGTTCCGGATTAACCTTCGCTATGGGGAAACATTGCTATATTGAACAGGGAAACCCATTGAAACGTATTAAACTTCATTTAATGCGTTCCAAATGGGCACAAAACTCACAGTTATGCGATGTTTCCCCATAGCGGCAGCCATTTTCGCGCCCTCGGTAAGCAAGGGCAGGGCGCGAAAATGCTGCACGCGGCCATTTTGGGTCATCCGGCGGCCATTTTGGAATTGCCGAACAGCTGATTCCCCGACATCACAATGCGAAGAGGTTAATCCGTTCTGGATTAACCTTCGCTATGGGGAAACATCGCTATACGGAATGGAAAAGCCCATTGGAACGCATTAAACTTCGTTTAATGCGTTCCAAATGGGCACAAAACTCACAGTTCTGCGATGTTTCCCCATAGCGGCAGCCATTTTCGCGCCCTTGGTAAGCGAGGGCAGGGCGCAAAAATGCTGCACACGGCCATTTTGGGTCGTCCGGCGGCCATTTTGGAACCGCCGAACAGCTGATTCCCCAGCATCGCAAGAAATCAACAGGGGTGGACGCCTTAGATACAATTTGTCTCCTGTTTATCATGCTACCCTTTAATCCATCCCCAGAAAGATCAGGACCTCACCCACCAGAAAGATGACTGCTAACTACTGTTAACTACTCATGACAATGGGTGGAGAAGCTTAGCTTCTTCAATCTGAGGAGAGTTGGTAGGAGACAGATTGTATCTAAGGCCTCCACCTCTGTTCAGTGAGGGATGTTCTGTTTGCACATGTATGACTTCCCTGACCCCTCTCTCAAACCACCTATCTCCTCGGTCCAAAATTAGTACATCTTGGTCATCAAATGAGTGTCCTTTCTCCTTCAAATAAAAGAGCACTGCTGATTGGGGAGTGGACACCAAAACACTACAGAAACAATATAGTGTATGCAGTCCAATGTAAAGAGGAGTGTTCAGAGCTCTACATTGGAGAAACCAAACAGCTACTAAACAGGAAAATGGCCCAGCACAGGAGGGGCAATGGCTAAGGACCACAATCAGCAGTGTTCCTTCATTTGAAAGAAATCAACAGGGGTGGAGGCCTTAGATACAATCTGTCTCCTGTTTATCATGCTACCCTTTAATCCATCCCCAGAAAGATCAGGACCTCACCCACCAGAAAGATGACTGCTAACTACTGTTAACTACTCATGACAATGGGTGGAGAAGCTGCAGAAGTGGGATTTTCACTCCCCCCCTCCCATCCTTTATCCATCTAAGGAGCCTTTTCAGACCAGGCAGAAGTGAAACCAATGTGAAGGCTATATCAGCAGTTTCCTACCAACTCTCCTCAG